TATGATTAGAATATATAGTCAGATTACGGTAATTACAATGAATTACTGATTTTAATTTTGCTTTTATGACAAGAATTTTAATGGATATAACAGTGATATAATGAATAGTATATAGAATGTATATGTTAAGTTCAATCCTGGAAATGTCCAATTGCTTGGCATTGTCCTAATGGAATTTTCAGTCATCACTTTCCATTATATCGACTCGCTTTGGATGCATAATGATGCTTTATAGCTGTTGTATTAAAGTAATCTTAAGATTCATGAGAATAATTTACTAGGCTAGCCCTAAATGTCATGTAATTAATTCATTTCTTGCATTCTTAACGCTATAAGGGTCTAAAGTTCGATAAGACTACAATAGTGATCAAGTGAAATAACCATCATGATTTGTAGGTCAATGAAATTGAATAATAGCAATCATAAATGCCAACGTTAAAGAAAATGTTGGAATCCAAAGTAATTTTCTGAAATCAGCATCAATAAAAGCGATTTGGCTTAGATGTCATCGCTATAGGACATTCTACGTCTAAATTTTAATAGATTAACATGAGTCGTGTAGGTGTTGGGCACGTGCTGAATGACTGATGGAATAAGTGAAAATATTTTTATTTTATTCAATTATTTTTCAAAGAAATTGATCGCCAATTTCATTATTGTCTTGGTTGTCATACTGATGGCAATTGACCGTCTGAACTTTTTTGACAGAATAAATTGAGCGTTTTAATTTCTGTCTTCAAAATTTGTTTTGATATCAGGATAATTGAGTAGCAATTGATAGAAAGGCTACCCTCGATTACGTTTTCCTTATTTCTTTCCTAAATGGTCCGTATATTGAGTATTTAATTCGATCTTCTATGTTTTTATTTTGATATCAGGATAATTGAGTAGTAGTCAATCGAAATGTTACCTTCAAACCATGGTATCCTTATTTTCCCCTTAAATATTCTGTGAACTTACAATAATCGAATTGTCTCCATAAGTGATATTTCTAGTAGCAGTTACGCTATTATAAACTATTACACTGATATAAAAGTACTAGCTCTAAGCCATTTCAGTGCCCCACTTTAGGATGGAGATATGCGATATTAACCAATGTTGATCTTAGCATTAACCCAAAATCCTACTTTAGGTGTGGTAAATATAATCAACTGATCGCTGAAGGTTGTCTTTCATAATTTATATAACTAATCTTTACTGACTTCACTTTTGGTAAAGAATTGTACGAATATTATTTGTCGATCAATATTTATAGGAGTAATTTTTAAAGTTGTTTTTGGCTTATAAATGAATATAGTACCGGATTGTCCTCATTGCAACTCGATCGATTAATAAATATTGACCAATAATATGTACTGGAGATTATTTTTATATCGAAGTGACCTTTACATTTAATTTCAAAGTCTTATCATTTTCATGTATATCTCATCCTTATCCTTCAATTCCTTTAAGTCTTACTGCTCCATCTTCAATTAAATGCAATTCAGAAGATTTTATTATCTCAATAGAAATTGTATTTATCTTCCATATATATGATTATTTTCAATTTGTTTCTTTTCTCCTCAAATAGATCAAGCCATGATTAAATATGGTTTAATTGATGGTATCTGATGAGATTTATTTGAAAGATAACTATCTTTTTGTTGATCTTTAACTTGGTTATTTTTAGATGGGATAGTATTACGAAATGATAGTTCATTTTTATTGGCATTAAGGCTTGGAAATGATTGCTTTCAGTCTGAATTTGCATCTTGTCAAATCTTTCGAGCTATGATTAATTGAGTGATAGCAGACAATACAATTAAGGAATCATTTAGCATTTAAACATCCGTTGGATAATTCAATTTTCTGTCCCTCACTTTTTATTGTACAGGAAAATCCTTTCGTTCCACGTAATTCATATGCAAGTCATTAAGCAGCAATAAGTGAATCATTAACGGATGAATTTTAGCATGACCCTTTGATATGTAATTCATCATTTAGCTTATATGAAGTTCTCTATCTCACTATAAGATTCTTCCATGACCATAGTCTATATCATTTCCATATCAATCGTATGCCCGCCACTGAATTAAGTACATTACCTCATTTTATATTCATGTTGACTCCATTGAGTTTAGCTGAGATTAATGGATCGTTCATGGATGATATTTTAGAAGGATAATCTGATATTTCAATATTCATTCTTAATTATAGCAATCTCTATCCTTCTGATTGCATTGCTACAACTTACATCTTTTTCGAATGCTACGGATGTTATTGAAATAAATAGATTAGCTCGATCTATATTTATATCTACACAATCTGAAGAGCTATCATTCATGACCCCTAACTAATAGTATTTCTTGATTGCTATGCAAAGTCTATGTCATTGTTACGTCAAGTCAGGCATGCGATAGAAATGAACGGATCATCCCTGCGTTGCATCTCGATCTACTCCAACCTATTGAGCTATAATTGCTGCCTAGTTGATCGATCCTCTTTCAGGAGTATCATGTGAGATCTCAAGATTTATTTTGAATATTTTCGTTCTCCATCATTGTCTATGATTGTATTGCAAGAGTCAGCATTATTTCCTCTGCAATAGCATGCATAGGATTGGATTGTTTGAGTCTGCGTTAGCTCAATTGGTTCTCATGTCAAGCCGATTGAATGATCAAGCCTTTGATCATTCTCCCTTGTTGTATAGAATGAACTGGTTTTGGCTGGTGGCCTTGTCGACTGGATGTTTATTCTATATTAGCTACATTGATGATTGTCATCAACAATAGACGGACGATAATGATTTCAAGTCAATTGATCCACTAGTCGACCAACGATGAAGAAAATTTGCAATTGAATAGCTTAAAAAATAACCAATTGAACAATAAAAATAAACTAACTGGTTTAAATGCAACTTGATAAGCACCAATAACGGGATAAGATAAAAAAAGAAGGAACAAAGGGATTGATGATTAATTAATATCTTATTTGATTGTATTGTACAACAATACCGTTATCTATTATTATCTAAGCAGGAACGTCATGCGTTGTCTTCCCACGTTCAACTCTAGGCTGGTTGATTGACAACATTAGGTCGCCGTCAATAGCAATTGTTCTATTCTAATCTATACAATCGTCCTATTTCTACTGACGACAACTATTGCAAGCTAGGGTAATTATCAAGGCCGATGGTAAAGATTAATAATTGAATTTTGCTCGATGGTAACAATCCCAGCCTGACCAACTGTTTTTTTTCCCTTGGATGAGTTTTTTCCCTCCTCCCCTTCTCGATCATCGTCGCTAGCCCTTATGACTAGCGGTGACAATAAGAAATTCTTAGGCAATATACCTATGACAAATCAGACTAGCGACTCCAACTCGTTATTATTCCAATCTTCCTGCTTGATCTAATGTAAGCCACTATTCAATCTTGTAGCTTGGCAGTATTTGATCTTTTTTTTATGCTATCGTCATCAATTTCCAGATAGAGAAATTCGATCATCAAGGTGATGATTTAATCATGTTGATCAGTATTCGATCGTCGTATCTAATATTATCTTAATCACTTTGGAAAGAAGTTTTTTTGATCTAATTTTTTTTTGATCCTGGGCTTTATTTTCGCTCCTCTTTTTAGTGACTGTAATTAGCATACTTACAGTTGTTATGATCATCGTGGCAATAGGATTGAGTAAAAACTTCTATTCTTTCCGACTTTTTTTTAGACCTTATTGAAATTTTTTTCTCAACTTTGCGCGTTTGATCGGTTGATTTTTTAATTAGCGCCCAACTATTGACTTGTAACATTAATTCTACTGTCTGTGACTCATCATTTACATCGCTTTTATCTAGCAAGAATTGGGTTATCTATTCTATTGCTTTACTTTATTCCATCAATAGCATTAGGCAAAATAACTGGATACAAGGTAATGTCTACAGCAATTAGAATTTCCACAACCAACCGCGGATATTTTTTATTTTATTAATGTATCGGCTGATAGTATTATTTATAACTGTTAATCTTGTCCTTTTTCTACACCTTCATCTTAATTAATAAGGTTGAAAAAAGAAAATATTATTTCGTTGAATAACGGCTTCAATTGACAACGTTTGATGGCTTTTTCTCGACCTTTGGCCACTGATTGATCCAATACAGACAACGGCGTAGAAAAAATTGGCACTTTTTTCCTGTAACGCTTGTTGTATTACTGGCCTTCATCAATTCATCTTCATAGTAAACCGGAGTGACAAAAAAAAGTATTTGATCGCTTACAATTTCCTCTCAAGTTCCTTTTGCTCCCTTTTAACCTAATTGGCTGTGAAGCAATCCTGAAGATTGAAATAATATTCAATCATCAATTTAGACAGAGCCATCGGATATTGACTTTATTCTTAATCAACTTGCTCCAGTGCGTTATACCCTTGAGCAGCAAGCGAACAACGTCATAATCTATTTCAAGATAGCTAACGTGGACACAAGATTCATCCTATCCTACGTCGATACAAGCAGATTCCCTTAGCAAAAATTATTGATATTAGTTCAATAAAAGGGACTAAAAATATTTTATTTTCTATTCCTTGCCCATCTTAATCAGTTAGTCATACCTTGTATTAGCGTTTTAAGCGTTGATTAAAATCCGTTTTGAATTGGATTCTATTTATCGCTATCAAACAAGGTAATCCATTTGGTCGGTTAAGAAATTGGTTTTTATTACACTAAATCGCAATAATACGTTTAAGAATTAAATTGATTTGTTCATCAGCGACAAAATCTTATTTTTCGTCATCGCTAATCATCGAAATTTCAAGTTAGTTCCACGTATTGCTCCTTTTGGTCGGTAATTGCACCACCACACTAGAAAATTTGCTTCCTATTGCAACCAGTCTGCTGCTAGTGATTGAAACTAAATTCGCATAACTTTACCTGGAAATAGTTCTTCTCGAATTATTTTTGATCACTTTTTAATATCCATTGCTTGGATTAATAATTTGCAGTCTTGAGACTTACGCAGTATTTCAATATGGCAATGAATCAACATCGATTGCTCTGTCTGTGTCTGCTTCTGTCTTGCTCTATGTATTTTATGGTCGCTACTGTGGAGGCTCGTGATCAGCAATGCTACAATGTTGCTAATCATTTTAGAAGTAAACAATTACCGATTAATTCACATTCGTTGAATCCTATACCAGGTAAGTTATTTTATGTCGTTATAGCCTGTCGGTTTCATACTTTTAACTCTACGATTTCATTTTTCCGTTATTGTTGATTGCGTATAGTCTTAGACGGCTAATATTGCACGCAGATCTAGATACGAAATGGTCTTAACTTTATTTCGTTATTCGTCTACCGTCTAAACTTTACTTTTTCATCATACCTTAAGACAAATCTTAATTTTTTCGTTTAACTTGATAATTTGGCTCGTACGGTCGGGATTAATACTATACATTTAATCATTTTCTGGAAGGAGATAAATTGAAACGAGGTAGAATCGAAAATCAATATCCATGCAGTCCGAGGGATAATTCGTGGAGATTGCTTACTCTCTCTAGATTAACATTAGCAGTACTTTATCGACTCACATTTACATTTCTGCCAAATACATCAAAATCATGAAGGGTTATTTACTTTACTGGGCAGATAGAATATATTTATTAACCATATTCTCATGAGCTTAGTTCCATGCAATAATTTTTAATGATGCATTGCAGATTCATCTAGTTCTGGAAAATGCTCGATCAATTTCATTTCTGCTGTAATCTTATTTTCCAGACATAATGTACTTCCCGTTCTAATAACTAATAGATCATATATTAAATCATCATCTGGGTGATGGTATTTCTAGCATAAATTGCTGATTAGGAAATAGATTGCGCACATAAAATGGTAGAATATTCTTTCAGTTTTTACCCTTTTGTCTGGAAAATGATTTTCCAGACGGGGCGATTAATTCGTGAAATAACGAAATACTTAGTCTTTCCGCACCTCTACTGTTAATCTATCCAAGATTACATCTTGTTACAAATTGGCTATAATATCGAGAAAATTAGTCTATGAAAGGATAACAGTAAATTTTTTCCTACCCGATTCCGTATTATTTGATTTGAAAAGCATAGGATATGTAAAATAACAAATCTCCTATCCTTGCATCACTAGATAATACTGTAATAGCCTCGAATATATGATATTTCTACTATACAATGTAGATTGAAGCATCATAATCACAGAAGATTATTTTAGGGCTAGAAAATTTCACGGATATGCTTAATAGTGTATATTAATTTAGCATAATGGAATAGCAGTACTTTAGAAATTTATTATCGGGTTGAAACTCTCAATTTTCTGAAACGTTATGTGATTATACACGCTATTTGGATAAGTAAATATAGATGATTTTATTTGAATATATCTATATTATGAAAGTCTAGGCAATAAATTCAAAGTTTACGTCTGGAATAGACAAGAATAAATTTATTCAGTAGTTCCCTTATGTCAGCCATAAGGCTTTCCAATTTTGATGTATCATTTAGTATAAACATTTGACTTGTAAGTGTTGCTTAAGTTGAAAGCAATAATATGGATAATTCTCGCGGTCTATTAAGAATGACAAAAAGGAATATCAAGGGGTTGCGGCAATTTCATAAATTCTTATATTAAAAAGAAACCCAGTATAACATAATAGACAGTTTTAAGTCGATATCTCTTCTATTTTACGTCTCAGTAACTGATCATTAAGTTTGACTAAAATGGTTTACTTATTTACAATTAAAATTTATTTATAGAGTTAAAGCTGAATGTTAAAAAATTATCGCTAGACTATTTGTTGTTCAAATAGTAGTAGACGTTAGATTGTAAATAATCGTAGCTAGACAAAATTATTTATTCGAAAGTTCAAAGATTCACGAATAGAAACAATAGTTTTAGTGTCTTGATCCAGTTCCAGTTTATTCTGTGGCTTTATAATAAACCAAGAAGCAGTTGCTTGAAATTATATCACTAAATGCAAGAAATCAAACCCATATTTACTTTAATAAAAAACTTCTATCTTGGGTATGATCTCATCCAATGTTTATTAATATTTATTACTGATATTATTTCAACATCACATATCTTACTCATCCTAGACTCATTTCAGTTCTCATTAAGTAGAATTTACTTTCGAAAGTCAATATATCTATAAAATGAAAGCAATTGGAATATAATTTAGTTCTATAATATGATAAACGTTTCGATCAGCTAATTATTCTCTGGGCCCATGATAGTATTTCTAGATAAATTGATATAGGAATAATGTTCGGAAAAAGCTATGATTCCGAAAGGAAATGGTTGACTACTAATTACGATGTAGATATGGATTCCATTTTCATACTGTAGTTCCTGTTATTAGCAATAAATCGATAAATACAGACAATTAGTTGTAGCTACTTTTCATTTAGTAGTATTTTTTTATTTTGATACCAGTTCATATCTTTTGATAATGGTCTATCATACTAGACAACCACTTAGAACAACAAGTCAAACTGTTCATTTCTTTCCATGATTTTTTCCAATGTTAAATAATAAATAGCGTAAAAGACTAAATTACAGTGTTCAGACAATGTATGATTTTATTGTCTAGATGTTTAATAATGAAAGAAAATGCGTCATATCATTTCTAACACTCTTATTTTTTCGCGACTTGACGGAAATATAGGAACTTCATTACAACATTGTACCTGTAAATGGACATGTTGTACGCGACAATCGGAGAAACTCCTTCATGATCGAGTATTAACTGAATTAGCCTCAATCGGACCCAATGAAACTAATATTATGAATCATGATTTATCTACATTTATCACTGAATTTCAAGGTAAGTTAATATTTGATCAATGGATACAAGAATAGAATAGATTTAATAATTTCAATTTAGCGATGTTTATACTTCGGACGAACTATCAATCGAGGCAAAACTGAGCCAATAACAATTGAATCTATTTTCAATGTGATTTACCGTTGAAAATCTTTCTAACCAAATTATACGAGTTCAAATTGCTACTAAATGAAAATTGAGTCATAGAATTGCAGTAAATTTCAGAACTTGATGAACGTTTGATATCTAAAGCGCACACGTATAGCCAGACTAGAAGAAGTGACAACTGGACAACGTACATCTACGATATTGATCAGTGACATATAATACATATCAATATTCATCAACTGTAATTTTGGAAATATCGTTAGCAATTAGATATTGATGGTGTCGGCAATATTGATCTTTAATTGAAATTTCGCCACTATTATTTTTCATCAGTTTCAATCGACTTTATCGTTAAAATTTGTTAGTTGCAATCCAATTTTAGCATCCAAATGTGTATAAAAATTTATCACAGCATCTGTGAATTTGTAGCGCTACTTCACTATAAGTGTTTAACAATTAATTAACAATGCATGATAGCGAATGCCAAACTGGAGCACATATACATTTGTTGTCTTAACTTAGATTATTATGGACTTATAAGTCATTTGAGCTGACAGTAACAGAGCTAAACGGATGATAAATACGTGATCTTATCGTTATTAGTCAATATCTAATTACATTTCCTATAGGATATGAATTCTTGCTTAAAATCTTTAACTTCCTTCCGATGTTGAAATACATGTATCCATAAATGGATTATCTTGCCGTATATCTCCCTAGATCTTGACTTTTGCTACACTTCAATAACTATCATTTTCGCTGATTTTAAGATTAGCAACTAGCCAGACTTAGTTCTTAATCAAATTACAGATCAACATATGCAAGGATTACATGTGATAGAAAGGTGTATTTTCATTTGGCTTCCAGTGTTTTACGGCAATTGTTTACTTTTCAATTATGAATCTAGAGTATCATTTTAACGGCACCTACTATCTAGATAGAAGTCTTCCAAGCATATTAGTCGACTCATAGAATTTTCCCTTTGCCTCAACTATGAATCTGGCACATAATAGCACATAGTTGGGCATTTTAGAAGCGACGATCAGGCTAAATTTGCTTTTCAAATTTATGATAGATTTCTTTATTAGTCAGTAGGTATCGAATTAAGTTTAATATATCATACCAAAACGAGGGCAACAATATTTACCGACCCTATAAATTTAGTTTTCTGGTTTGATCTCATAAAAATTAAACACATTTTTTAGTCAATTACTATCCAGTATGGACTCTGATATTGAAATTCTATTTTCTCTTGTAATATTCCAGATCTTATGATGACATTAAATGTAACATGGCTAAGTGTCGGCTAAGGGGATTCAAATTAATTTATATATTCCATATTTTAATATCATCCAATATAGCCTAATTCATTATTAATCTCAACCTGCTGACTTAAATACAGACTAAGCATTTGATGCTGTATCAAAATTCTATGCTTTCTATTTGGTCTACTACGGATTATATCATCAATTTTAATCCAGTATGGCATAGGCAGTAGTGTAAAATTTTTAGCTCTGTTTAGTAGTCACAATTATTAATTTACTACGATCCTTTATAGATTTAAGACTACGGTTTATTTGGCTACATTTAAAAGAAATTACTAAACGGTTGCAATAGTAGAAAATTACTTTTTTATTAGTTTATTTTGGGAAAATTCATTTTTACCTCTTTAACATTTATTCCTCGAAATTAATACTGTACTATTTTAATATTGAAATATTAGCTTTGGAAATTTGTTTTTATTACTTCATGGATAACTCAAGTTTCTTTATTTGCCTAAATTCCTGACTCGATTAAATTCAAATTGAGAAAGTAAATACATTGCAGTCCGTGTCTCTATCTTTTTTAATTTATTTTATAAAAGCCTCATAATAGCAGTTCCCATACAGCTAGATTTCGAAATAGGAGTTGTACCGTCATGTATTCATGCCACAAGAATTAAATTTATTCTGTTCTGTTTGATATTTGCTACTACTGTCTCGTATATTTATAATTATTACTCTTTAATATTATAGCCACAGCCATCATTAGCCAATACGATCAGAGCTGTTGCATAAAATAATGTCTACGGCTTGAATTATTGATTTGTTAATTTTTTCTTTTTGATCACGTTATTGTATCCTATTATTATTTATCCCATTTACTTTCTACTGTATTTATCCATTGCTCATTCAAGTTAGTGAATGAAAAAAATTATTCGATATCTTAGAAATTTAATTAAAAGTAATAATCAATCTATTGTTAATCTCGCATATAGCAGTTACTATTATTTGACAAAATTTTAATATTAATGATGAAAGATGATAATTAAAGGGCTATCAAAAATAGATTTGGCAACTCTTATTTATCTACATATAGAATTATATATCGATATGAGGATAGTCAGTAGATGCACTGTATAATTTTCAATATTATAGTATTACACAGTGTCTGCAAAACTGATGTAGCCATCAACGAGTTACGTTTTAATTAAATTTCTTGATGAGTCAAAAGCCATGTGAGTAAAAAGTGTCTAACTCTCGATTATCTCTCGCAATATTAGCATTCTTATCGATTGCTAGTACTTATTAAAACGTGACCATAGGGACTGTTATTGACACTTTATGTCTAGATATAAAAGCTATCAGACTAATGATGATTCATTCAAACGTTACTGAAGTTTATTACTAATGGAACAATACGTATTGATAGCGTGCTGATTTGTTGAATTCTATATTCTAGGGCATATTTCTAAGAATATCGACGATGCTGAAAAATTCATGAACTATGTTTATGGTGTTGCTTACCCTGATGTTTATCCAATGAACAAGGATATTTTTACTCAATTTTATTCCTCTTTACGCCATTTTATGAATGGAAATTTAAATAATTTGGAAAATCCGCTGAAAGAGCTCTATACTGAATTAGTTGTTCGAGGTTTTAGTTATAAAAGTATCAAATTCGATTTTAATCCTAAAGTACGAAATTGTGTTAAGCAACTGATTACAACTAATGCTAAGATGCCTGGTTATCCTGATAAAGTTATCGAGAAAACAAAACGAGTTATGGACAAGACACGTGGCGTTTTGGCTTTATTAATTCAGTTACGGAAACAAATTCCAGCATTAAGTCAAATGAAGGCCGGCCAAAGTTGCGATCGGGCTGTGGTCAATATGCATGTTTGCTCTATTTGTGCAGCGTTTAGTGTTCCACCCTGCAATAAATATTGCCAGCATGTATTAGCAGATTGTTATTATGACCAAGTCTACATTACTAAGATTTTCCATGATCTATCCATCAATTTAAAGCTATTAATTGAGCAAATATCAAGCCATTACAATATGAAAGAAGCGTTAGGAGAATTAACGAAAGATATTTCAATATTTGTTTCGGCATTTGATGCTTCACCTTCATCGATTACTGATCCGGTAAGATGAATAGCCTTCGAAAAAGACTACGTTGAAAGGTTTAGTCATATTAGTAGAATGTAATTCTTCACGTACATTATTAGCCAATATTATAATCTGCTTAGTCATTATTAGTGCTGAAATTGCTAATTACCGTACTCTATTGTTTTATTTCATTGCTATAAACTAAATTTTAAAAATAAATTCACATACTAATAGCTGCTCTATTTTAAATTAATAAAGTGTATGAATTTTCATTTTGCTAGATTACTAAGAACTGCAAGAGTCTACAGAATAAGCGGGAGAGACGATCAGCTGATAATGATTTTGTCGTTGATGGCATATCAAAAGATCAAGTTCACTTACGTAGTAAAAAAGCGGCCAATAACATGTTAGCATCAGCCGGAATTAAGAATAATCGAAATGGTAGGTGGTATATTAGTTATGATATTGCTTAAAAAACTGCTGATCGATTGATTGAGACTGTTATTTAGTTTTACTTACACTCTCGTCTTAAATTTAGATAAGGCTTACGAGAAATTCTTACAAAATTTATCCAACGTATTGGAATCAGGTCAGTTCTCATGGGAGAAAGTCATCGATCGAGCATGCTTATCTCATTTTTCAGCTAAAACAACAACGCAATGTTGGAATGGAACTGGTGTTGGAAGGTAACTATGAAGATTAAATTGAATTATATTTCATGTGATAATATTGGTCTTGTAGGTATCCAGTATTCTTGCAGTACCGGTATCCAATTCTTCTCTAATTACGATATATTTCATGCTTTTATACTTATTTAACATTGGGATTGTGATATTATAATTGACTGATACTAAATTCGGTTCCATCTGAATAGTAGATACAACTAGGAACGATTTTAAATTTTTCGTATCTTAGTATCGAAGTTACTAATGGAAAAATAATAAATTTAGTATCAGTTATTAATGAAAGCTAAATACTCAACACTATTTTGACTAGCTATGTTCTCTTTGATATAAGATAGTCATTAACCAACGATTTTGAAAGCTTGCTTCGATTAAAATTAACACAGATACAACGATGTTGATATGTAGTTATGCCTAGTAGTTATTTAAACGTTATGTGTTGCTATGTATCAATATTATCTAGACACTAAATAGAAGTTTTCCTCCTTTCAATAGTTTCTCTGTTTCGCCGACTTTTGTCTGGAATAATCAAATATCTGTCGAATCAACCTATATCGCTGATAGACTAATTAAACTTATGGATACAACCATTAAAGGTATTCAAAATAAGCCTGTGGAATATCCACAATTAGAAATTTATAAGACCCCAGCATCAAGCGGTTTCAGCGGCAGCGGAAACCCTACTGATAACGACGATACGAGTGAGGACGATGATGATGGAAATGATGGAAATGTTAGTGGCAACACGTCAGGTGGGTTCTCTGGATCTAGCGCTAATCCTGAGGTTAAAGGCAATACTGGCGGTACAGAAGCATCTACAACTGATAATACACCAACAATCATATTTAAGCCATTAACAGTAGCTACGCGATATATTGAAACAACAACACCACCGAAAACAGAGCTAACAACAACAGCAAACAAGCCTTCAACATCGGCGACTACTGAAGCTAAAACAACACAAAGTACTACGAAAACTACTACGAAAACTGTTACAACAAAATCAATAACATCTTCCGATACTACAAGGAAAGGAACGGTTGGAAATCAAAATTTACAAGAGGATCCAACGACAACGAGTAGTGCTAAGGCTCATCGAAGTTACTCTACCGCATCGATATTACTCATTAGCGGTTTAGCTTATGCTTTACTCCATACAAACGTATTATCATCGTTATGATAATATTAGCCAAGCGAAATTCAATCACAACTTCAAGGTTAATTCATACTTTTTATAATCATCGAGTAAAATTAATCAAGAATTAGTCTTGACTTCAAATGAATCAATAGATGCAACTGGAATGGTATTAAAATATCACGTAGTGCTTGATAAGTTAAATAGAAAAAAATAAACCATAGAGAAATTAAGCATGTTATGCTTAATTAATCTATTACCTGTATCTCTCTCTAACCCACATACACTATATATATTTACCTTTCTTTAAATATATATGATGCATATATATGACTATTTACATATCTAACATTATGTGAGTTTCCCACTCCTTTAAAATCTTCACCATTCTTTATTCTGCAGCGATAATTCAATCCACTACAAAAAATATTGATCCAACAATTACATGAAAATATCATGTCAATTTACTAATAGATATCAAAATTTGATCATTATTTTAGTTATAAATGGTATTATTGTCGATAAATGATCAGTATTATTGGCAATCGATGTATAATATAGTTTACATCTACGTTATTGAACTAATAAGACATAAACGATCGAATTGTTGCAATTCAGCTGATATTGATTATTTCTAGATTTACACTTAGCAATAATGTGGCAAAAATATCGTTTTGATACCAACCCATCTATTTAATCAATAAGTAATATTTTAAACGCGATATTATATCAATCAGCTGGGTAAAAAGGACGAGAGTATAATTTGAAAGGATCCATTTGGTAAATTTAACTCCATCCTTGATAACATTATCGGTACGATAATTTGGCAATCATTTTTTTTGTGATCTGGTTTATGCAAATATACGTAAAGTGGTACGTAAGCAATTTTATCGTGATCGTATTTAATTTTGAAACTTAATATCTGTATTCAAAATCGTTAACTTGAGCACTTATATATGTATATTGGTGTTTATAATCGCGATTTCTATATAAAAATATAGGCATTATTACATATACTGTATAAATATGGATTTTATTCCAACCTTATATGAAAAAATAATTGTCAATTTTTGTTATCATAGTGGTAGAGTAAAATTTTCCACAGATAACTGAATTGCATAATTTACGTAGTTATTTCAGTAACTGAGTAGTCCATTAACAAATGTAATATAATGTTAATGTTGTTGTTGGCGTAATAGTTGTTTCCAAAGTTGTCTTCAATTTACTTGATTCATTCGGTAAATATATATGTCATTTAATATACCACAAAATATTAAATTGAGACAGCTGTGATTATGATTTTAAATAACTGCTGCAGTATACAGACTAATTTTCACTATTTTAACCATGTAAAAATCGCTATACCTTAAATTATGGTCTGGGTTTGTCAAGGGATCAAGGGAAGATTATATCAATATTTGGTAATTCAAGAATGATTACTAGTACAAATCCTTCTAATTAACATAATTTAACTTGCTCATTTTATGTATCTATTCTTAACTATTTGAACCGTCAAAAGGAAATTAATCAATATTAATCACAAATTATAATTAAAATGTTCTTCAAATATCATTTAATCATTATTTCAGTGTAATACCTATGCTTCCTGCTATGCTATGGACAGAATCAGTCATTAAACAATTTGGACTTCGATCAAATAAAGTAATTTTCACTAATTCCTTAATGCATTCCCTCGTATTTACTTCGATTGCGAATTCTCTCAAGGCTTATTCGGTTAATTCGCTCAATTTTAATTATGTTATGATTCTTCCTCGTTATGATGGCATGCAACAGTTTTGAAAATCTTTAATTTTTAATGGTAATTAGTCTTTGAAATGTATTCAACTATTTCTGCAGCCATTTTATTCACAATATGATCTTCAAGTAATATTAGCTGAAACATTAACACAAGGTGATAAAAAAGCTTGATAGATTTAAATCTGGATAAGTAGTATCGATTGCATGCAATCTTTTGGGCAAATAGTAAATCCTTAGCTGTAAAGATCAGGTCAAGAGACTAAGCTCATATAAAAACATTTTATGATATATAATTTACAAGCTTTTCACGCATCTGCAGATATACAACAGCATAAAATTGTGATACAAATTGTATAATGTAAAAAGTTTAACTAACTATGGAAGTCAGTATACAGTTTTAAGATATATTACTTCGATATGCCACTCAACTCGTCACTTCGTTACATAACTGGACTATCGCCATTTCGCCGTAACGTTTGCCGCATAATAATATGTAGAGAAATAAAACATATCTTGCAAGGTTGATAGAAAAGATGATTAGTCGATGTTGTTTCGAAACAATTTAAAAAATATAAAAATAATCAACAAGAATCGATATCTGTTTTCTGTTTCAGTTTGTTAATACCCAGATTCGATTTTTGAGTCTTTTAATTTAACTGAAACAAAACAAGACAACTATTTAATAAGGATTATCTTATTATAAATTACTTTTGTCGATTAACTAATAATTTCCTTAACGCAAAATCTATATTGACAACCAGCTTCTGATAAAAATTGATTGCGCTTCTTAAAAATAAAATTGATCAAAATATGTCAAAAGATATAGTATCAGGTCATTTTTCTGCAATTTCAATGTCCATCATATATAAATTATATTATTAATCATATGGCGTTATTATAACGTCGTATTTCAATAATATTGTTCTATTTGTAGATTACGTTTTAGAGTGGAAAAATAGTGATCGGGATAAAATTCATTAGTATTAATATGACTGTAAATCAAATTTAAACTTTAGTTACAGTCATGTATTTAATCTACTTTTCAAAAGCATCAATGGCAAATATATTTGCCAATACAGCATACGCAAAAGAGATGATTTACTGTACATTAACGCTATTAATGAAAAACTTGATGAAAGCACATTAGTAGCATTGCACTGAGATAAAAATTGATGTAATATACAAAATGATATTCCCTGCGTTTGCAATGTAGCTGACCAAGGCGATACTGATTTGTGCAGTTACGGATACTACACTGTTAAAGTGCCTAGCAATTCTTCTTTTTTTGCAAAACGTAAACTAAGCATGTGCAAATTTACAGGCAACGTGCAGAAGCTTGGAAGCAGAGCTAATCTATAGCAGCAGCTTGTTGCTTTCTCCTAATATAAAATAAAAGTCAAGAAATGAAACAGGATCATTCGCAAGATTACGCCTGAATACAATACCGTTTCCGATAAGTGAATAATCGCATTACAAGAAAAGTTCGGAATGTACTTAACAATATTTTAGACAAAGAATATACTACATAATCTATTCATTTTATTAAATTAGCATAGTATTATCTTGATATTATCTCAATCAGTGTAGATTGAAAATGCGTAACTATATGCAATAAATATTCCTTATAGATTTAACTTTGTCCGTTAGCTTCCAAGTAGTATGTTAAAGCGGAATATTTTTCATATTTTTAATTAGCGACAGCTCAACCTTAATTATTCTTAAAGTGCTGGTAAAGTACACATTTTTACTAGGCCAAAATGGCTACATTTTATAAATAGTAGGACAATTAAATGTTTCTATATATGGCTATACTGCCTAGTAATGTGAAATACTACCTTTTTATCCTTGCACACTTTGGACAGCTATCCAAAGTGGCTTTACATCTTTTATGGTAGCAGGTATGACAATCTAAGCAAATACAAGATAAAAATATTAATAATATTAACTGTCTTATTAAGCATATAAACTGATACATTTATATCAAGATAAAATACTAGTTATTAAATACCTTACCATCGCATTGATAACAAGTAAGTATTTCAAAAGGATAGATAAGAGTTTCGCTCTTGCATATTTCGCATATGAAACCTTTCAGACGGCATAGCTTTATTTTGATAATACGGTAAAGGAAATTATAATTATCAGACAAGATTTGATCACTTACGCTTAAGTCATTAAAGTATATGCAGTAAATTGATTTACCTGACATTGTGAGATATGAGCCGCGTTGGCTATTACGTATGGCTCCAAGATGGCATTAAGTTCTTTCTTTTTTACCTGTAATTAGTATATTATTTCGGTTACATTTAAAGCAACGGATATAGAATCTAGCAACAGTAACTATATTAAATAATTCATTTTAGTTCTTACACTCATAAAATCATGCATGGAATATACATGTGGTTGATCGATGATATGAAGAGGTAGCTTCTCTAGTCTTTCCAGCAATCCTTTCGATGATCCACAAGTAGAGATATATTTCTTGAGGTGAAATAGTTGTATTCTCAGTTCCTTAATTATACATTAACCAATAGTTGTCATCAACGTTATTATTGACATTGATATTTTATTACATGATTTTTTAATTCTAATTTAAGCAGGTAAGCAAAGCTGACCTTTACAGTATTTAGAGTTTTCTTCTTGTATAACGATTGATTAATATCCATCACGTTAAATAATGGATCATGATGCATTTTAGTTAATAATTCACGCGCCATATTGGAAACAGGAAACTTAGTAAAGTCCCATTTTTGAATCACATGCCCAGGTATTATCGCAGTAGCATTTCCATGACATGTGTGACAGAAATATTTACCAAAATATTCGCAATAACGAAAACGCTTAGAATAACCTATAATATGATATTCGATATAATATTAGAATAACAACTTGAATGGCATTAGTATTAGTTTTTCAATATCAAAACTAGAGTCATATGCCTTTATCAACTTTCATTCCACAACCAGCACATCGATAATTTGCCTGTGCAATAACTGTCTTTCGTCTATATAAGAAGATATTAGAGATATCATATTATTAACTGTTTTTAATTGAATGCTTTAAAGGGATGATAAAAACGTTTGCAATAATCTTACTTTGTCTGAGGATGAATAATAAATATTATTTGCTGTCTTGGTGGAGCCCATTCTAGGTTTCCACGAATTCGTGGCTGATGTACACATAATTATCAAATGAATTGAAGTAGATTAATTGTTCCTATACATCTATGTATGACAGTAACCACTTACAGTAGATTGTTCCATTGATTCAGTTAACGTTGAATTGGTCGCTGATTCACTTGATAAAACTGGATTAGGTAAAAGCTCCTGTGGCACTTCAGTATCTGATATTAATAAATTGGTATCGGCTGCAGGTTTATCGGAGTATTGCTTCGCAACACTTGCCAATAGTGATCTCGCCAAATACTCAGCGGAATTTGTATCGTTACCGCTATATGTTAGAATTTCGTAATGGCATTTATTATGATTATTTTCTTGGAAGTAAGGAAAAAAAAGACGTGAATGCTTACACATAATTTAAATAATCGTTTACCTTTCCTTACTTTCCGTTTGGATATACTGGCTATACGAATCATAAGATTCTGCAAAAGATAAAACAGCAGCCAAAAAAAGCTTGAGTACTTCCATAAATTATCAACATAGTAAAGAGTTTACTCAGTCCTTAATTCTACTAACTTTTCCGTGTAAGGGTGTTACTTCTGGATACTTTTAGTTCATCGATAGTAGAATTAACTGTAGACTCATTTACATTCGATAAATCTAACGAAAAGTCATAAGAAGAGAGAGCTCTGCGGTAAATAAATTATTATTCTAGCGTAGTAATAAAATAAACCAGCTTCTGATAATTAAGACTAAATAATAATATTTAGAATTATCGTACCTTCCCAGCTATTAGAAATGACATCAGCTATTTTAAAAACAATAAATGATTAAATATATGATTCTTTTGATATCTGCATCTTCTATTTAAATCACATGAAAGGAAAACATGGCAGTAGCTATTACTGCAGTACCTGAATCATTCTTTCCAAGTTGAGAAACCTGTAATGATAAAATAGTTTTACTACTGACATAAAACTGTATTACTGTCTATCTAGTACACATTACCTCATCACCAGAACTTTCGTCTTCTACTTCTTCATTAAATGTACAATCGAGAGGTTCCAAAATTTTCTGACATCGAATCTGAAGGAATAGAATCATTCACTATGATAAATTTGTTCATTCTGAGGATAAGGCTATATTATTACTAAAAAATGCAGGTCGTAGAATGATCCTTCATTTTAAAATATGCACTCATGCAATTAAGAACATCCCCCAATAGCTAACCGCTTCAATGTGCGTTATGACGGATTCAGCTAAGGATATATGAGCATTTTCCTATTTAAAAAATAAATTTCAATAATACGTTAGTTACATAATATTGTAGCTGAAAACAATCAATTCTATTAGAATTATGATATAATTATTGTGCTAACGAAGTAACTAAGTCTGCATACTCGTTCTAATTCTTCAGTTGATGCAATATCTGATAACATTGCAATGTCTCGGACTATATCTGATAATTCTCTATCAACGGGGTTGCTGGGCTGTTGTGATGATATAGATATTTTTCTATTTTCTGTAAGATAAAGTCATTATTAATGCACAAAAATATAATATTTTATAAGGGATCCGATAACAGTTATCCCTAAAGAGGTAAGATGAATCGAAATTTTAACCAGTTCACTTTTTATAAACTTATTCATTAAGTAGTGTATATGAAAGAGGCAAGCATCTTATAGAGCAAAATGTAGGGCTTTAACAGTTAATATGAGATGCTTATCCAAATACTATTCTTAGGTACTACAGATAAAATACTTTACACACTTTTCTATGAAGAGCAGAGGACAATATCAAAAGCGCAACATAGAACGTAAAATTGCATTCTTTAATAGTAACTATCGACTATGCAAGATGAAATCCAATTTAAATCAACAGTCAATATTGTCAACTGGTAGGGTTAATGTAATCTGAAAGCCGACTATGTATAACATATGCCAACGAAGAATCGCATTGCCGTACGAACAGCACTCGGTACGTCGAAACGCAGATAATATAACATTAATACATATTTCCTAGACTGAAACATATGGTGGGTTGATAGATGAAATACGTATTCGATTTATGTTCATTACACAAGCAAATTATGTATTACAGGAAGGAGTCAAGTTTACAGATAGTTATGTAGTAATTATATAACTTTTTAGAAGCAGTGTACAACACTCACGATATACATGCACGTAGATTGACGATATTAATAAAACATACTTCCTTTCTTTTGCTTGGGTGATATTTCGCTGTTTATGTTTAATTCTCGAGATGTTTTATCTTGGCTGGTTAAATCATCAGTATTCTCGAAAGCTATGTTGGAAGATTGGAGTACTGGACTACGGGCAACAATATCTTTATGTGATAAAAGTTTATCTGAAGTTACTTTAACATTAAACTGAAATTGACTACGATCACTAGCGTTGTTTTCAAACGTAGGTGAAAAAATATCATCCAAATTTGTTTCATCAGAAGAACTTCCAGATGTGAATAATTTTCTTTTGTTTTCAGTACGATTACTATGAATTGGATTCGTAAAATTTCCAACCTTGGTTAATTCATGGAGTTTGCGTTGGTTGTTACTGGTTGTAATTTTAGTTACTTTAATTGGAGTGCTATCATGTTGTACAGCTTGCAAGGGATCACCAGATGTTAAAGGATCAATTGCATGATAATTGGAAAGATTTACTGGTAATTGATTATAATTATTATTGTCATTTTCTTCATCATTGGATTTAGTTGATAGCAAACGCATAAGCTGGGACTCAAGTGATCCCGGTAAACTGCTGTCTTCGTCTAAACCTGTACTAACAGAGGCTGATAAAGGTGTATATGCATCTGCTTGATTTGGCGTCAACGAACGATGAAAATTTATTACTCGATTTCGACCGTTATTACTGCATGTGTCTTGGGACAAATTATAGATATTCCATGGTTGACTTTTCGAACGAGTTTTTAGTATACCATCGGGCAATGGTACATCTACTTCGTTTTCTTCTTCAGCTATAGTATAGGACTGCTGAATTGACGATGATAGTCCAGAGAGTTCCTGAGGACGATTAAAAACGCTGCGTTTACGCTGCCTGCACTCCTTTCCTTTATCGCTGGAGTTGTCTAAGGTTGTCGAATTTAAGCTAGGATCGGTCTCATCTAATATGGAAGAGTTTTGAGGTTGTGATTGATGTCTTTTCAAATTTGAATTAGCAATCTGATGTCCATTGTCATAACTGAAGCTTCTTCGCATATATAAACTGCCTGATTGCACTGGTTGACTAGAACTTAATAATGAAAATTGAGAAGAAGTTGGGAAAGTCTCTTGGCTACTATGGAAGGATAAATTCGGTGTAGATAGATTGTTGACATTTTCTAGTTGTTTTCTTAACTGCAGACATATTATGGAACATGATTAATTCGATAGCATTTATTATATTTTGATAGAAAGGACGATGGATCAAAAATAACTTTAACCAGCTGAATAATATTGACAAGGAATATTTTACTTACTTGCGCTGGATTAACTTCTGCTAAGATCGCGGGATCACTACGTTCGACAGCTTCTAGGCACCTTTGTAAAGCTTCTCGACAGAAATTGCTGCGTAAAAATGCACCCTCTATTGACAATAGTTGTACAAAATATATGGAAACATAACAAACTCCAAGTTAGAATTAAGAATGAATTGATTGACCAATTGCAATTTCAGTAAGCCTGGGTAAATGATTACAACCGATTGTAACAAATGATTAACCTGCATAAAACAGACATAGTTCGGTTTGATGCAAAGATAATTCACAAATGGACTTGCTCAGGCAATGATTTGATAGAGAAAATTCTAGCCATATACGAGATGGACACTCTTGGGCTTCAATTTTGTCATGCTGTGCTTTACCAGTATTTAACTCGATTAAGGATGCTTTACATAGTTGTTGAATAACGGGCCAGAAATTGCCGCCACCAACCTAACATCATTACAGATAGTCAATTGTTGTTATTATGGTACGTGTCTATTGCAATTTACTAGTCGTAGTAGTGGCGAGATATCTGATAGCAGTTTCAAGTAGAAGGTTACTGCAATAGCAAATTTGAAACATTCGCATTTTTTTTACGATGTTCCAATTTGGATAACATCAATACAATGTGGTACTATAAAGTCAATGCTATTTATACTGTAAATTGGCTGCATGTTATGATTCTTACTTCAAGACTGTATCAGCATTGGCCACCTCAATCAAGTGCAATTATTATTTGATTTAGACTATCCATCAGTACTGAAAATATCAACCGGTTATCACAGCCTTAAATCGTCATAACAATAACAACTATCAACGATGGCTGTGAATGAATACTATGTTAAACAAGCGTTGCTAATGTCATACAGTCTGCCAATAGCAACAACACAGATGTCTTTCGAGTGAGAAAGAAGCTTGGCAGGTATACATAGGAAAGATTACAAGTGATAAAGTCAAGATGATGGCATACGTCTAGGTAGATGTACGCTATATATGTTTCTGTATCAATGATCAATACTCGTCTAAGATTGTAGATATTACAATCCTTTGGCCTTGGCTTATTTGTGTATGTACATTGAGTGTACCGAGTGTGCACTACACTGTACATCTATGGCCTATAAATACTGTCGTAAGTCTAGGGATATCTCAGATTTACATGGGTATATTGCAAACTAGCATGATAATACAGTATTATTTTACTAGCAGGTACGTCTATTTTAATTATCACTGGGGACAATGATACTGCAGATTGATAGTATGGTAGTTATAACTGGTATGTTTGACTTTATACTTTGTTGATGGAAAGAAATGATACCTGTTAGGGTATCAACAGACACACGATATTGTATCCAATTAAGAACAGGTTTCCATTGATGGAATCATACAAATTGATTGATGTACTATAGGATATGTCATCAGTGAACGAAGTCAACGATTAGAAATTACTTTCGGTTCGATTGTAGACTCGCCTACAGCATAAGACGTCCATTTTCCTAGAACTGACTATGCTATTACAATCAATACACTCCATGTATTCCATATTCTCCAGTGGATGAATTGCAGCTTATTGACACGCTCGATTGGTATATTGCATCCAATGCCATACTAGGCGTTATTCTTGACAGTTTGATGCAGTATGATTGGGCCCAAATTATAATCACAAGATTAATTATTAAGGTGTCCGGGCTTGGAGCGAGATGAGATCAAGTAACTTGTCAAGTCAATGGATTCAACATAATTTATAAACATGGACAATTTTTACTAGGAGATAATGATGTTGAAGCCTCGATCCCATCGGTATGGTCTAGTAGAAGTGTTTGTCGTGTAAGGCTTTACTCGATATTGATGTGCAAGCATATGAAATCGATGCAAGATTACTTTAATTCAATCGTGCTCACAATGAAATCGATTAGTACTACTACAGTAATATCAGGCACAACATCATCATCCATTGTTGATTAGTAAAGTCAATGAAATGGAATGTTGATCCCTAACTGTCTCAAGTATGTCATGATAAACCCGTGGAATGGCATCATGATTATAACGTATTACAACATGGTGAAAATATTGTCAACATCATCCAATACAAACAGCATAGTTTAGCTGTAGTCTAATCTGGTGAAATGCCTATCAGCTTAACCACTATTCTCTATAAGGGTAGACTGTATCGTGTATAGAAGAGTATAGGTCATGAACAAACTGGAGTGTCCATGTTGTTTACGCGTGGAATACTAAGTCTTTCTTACTTGTAATTGATGCTGAAATAAATCTTGTATATTATCTGATAGACGTTTTAAGCCACCATAAGTGGAAAAGATATTGCAATGATCAGATGATAATAGGCTTTCCACCGTATTTTTCACGCGAACAAGCAGAGAATAACATTGCTTGTTGGCATAATGTTGAGCCGCCATCTTGCCATTCTCCAAGTCAGTCAGTCAGTCAGTGTCTATGGTGTCGTTTGCCAGTGCCGATCACAGTCCTATGACCAACATGACGATGACAAGTGTACCCAGTACGGTGTCCACTTGTCAGTTGATGCGCAGATGACGTCAACAAGGTTTACTACAGTACAGTGTCGTCGTTGTACACTGTACAACACATGACTGTACTCTCGGTCTTCATGGTTGATGACAAGCCTTCTGAACAAGCTTGCCACTAAAGCACAAGGTATTCGAACATAGCCGTGTATTCCAGCTGATGACCATGGCCAAGATGTCCATTATTGGCAAAAAGGATGTCACCGTGAATGAATTTTGTCAGAGAATTTTTGGACAGACAGATTACAGTACTGTCCTCTACAGTGTACACTGTACAGTACTGTAGAACGAGCGTGGTGTCTACTGCGCATGTGGAGTCCAGTACAACCTGGAACGGAACAGAAAGAGTGTGCTTGCTTACTGTATCTGCTGGTACTGTAGCTGAGCATGTGCAATGGTGAAATGTGCATGCGTACCGCACTGTACTGTTTTGTGTATCATTGAAATAGGCCATCTCTCCGTCTCTCCGTTCCTTTCCTGGGGTATACACTATACAACTGTACAGTACAGTATAGCGTTATTATCTTCCCTTTCAGTTTGTCCTATACAGTACAGTACACTGTACACTCAGTGTACAGTACTGTGCTATTCTGTGTATCATAGAAATAGGCAATCTCGCCGTTCCTTTCCTGGGGTATACTGTACACTGTACAGCGTTATTACCTTCCCTTTCAGTTCGTACTACTGTATACTGTACACTAGTATACTGTACTGTGCTATTCTGTCTATCATTGAAATATGCAATCTCTCCGTTCCTTTCCTGGGGTATACGTCGTACTGTACACTGTACAGTACGACGTTATTATCTTCCCTTGCAGTTTGTACAGTACTATGCTGTTCTGTGTATCATTGAAATACTGTAGGCAATCTCTCCGTTCCGTTCCTTTCATGGGTACAGTATACAGTACAGTACAGTACAGTACAGTACAGTATAGTACTGTACACTGTACAGTACGCTATTGTCGATTTTCTTGTAGTTAGCTCAGCCACCTCAGCCCATTCCAGGGACTTCAAGAGAAATTCTTCTTACAGTACTCAAAAAGTACTGTATACAGTACCCAATAAACTGGAATTGTACTGTACACTGTACGCTATTGTCGATTTTCTTGTAGTTAGCTCAGCCACCTCAGCCCATTCCAGCGACTTGAAGAGAAATTCTTCTTACTCAAGTCTACAGTCTTCAGTAGATATAAACTGTACTCTACTTTAAATCAACTTTTGTAATATTACATCCTTCGTTGATATGAAATAGGAAAGTAGTAATATTGACTAAACCTTCATCTACCAGCACATAGAATATAAAATCATTTTCATTGCAATAACGCAAGTCGATTTTCGATATCGAAATTCGAAAACGAAGGTAAACATGCTGTACAGTTGAACATTCGCTCGATCTATCCAAGCGATCAATAAATACGTCCATTGGTGTATCAACATGAACACCAGATTAAGGATAATAACAGCACCATCAGATCTTCCAGCTATCTTGGAGATGACAGTATGTGCCTAGCTAATGGACGTCTTTTACGAACAAGTGAAGACCACTTTTTCAGTTCGTTAATCGCTTAGCTGGTCAACTAGTTTGTCAATTGCTATTCAATTGTCAAGACGATAATCGTTGGTGGTGATTAAGATTTCTTCAGTAATAAATAGTAGTCAATCTCGGACTATCTCGTTTACACTATCGTTGACGCCATCATTATACCATAGTATTCGGTCGTTGGAACTGAATGATAGAGTGATATAGCGAATCTCGCCTGTAGAAGTTAGGCGTTCTTCATAAACATTGGCGTATGTAGACTAATTTGTCTCTAGTGGCGTATCACACATAGAAATCACCTTCGACTTAATGCATGGCAAAGTGTATCTGCAATGATAATAAATCACAGTAAACCTTTGCATTATCTTCACCGTGCTATTGATAGATTAGTATACACTATTTCTTTCACGGTATACAGTGGGTCTTACAAATACAGCCAGCTAGTCATGATGCCCTTTCCAAGCAGTCAAGAAGCTACGGTAGGACAAGTCTGCTTTAGTCGTCTCTCCAATTCGCAAATCTTCATCACGCCTACTGTACTGCACCTACTGTTCCACTAGTATGCCACTTGGACCAGTATTATGATATGTACTGTACTAGACGATTATACGAGTATTACTGCGCTCTCGCAAAGATTACTTGTCTGCCTCCAACTACCCCACGAAAGAAGTTTCCTGCTATCGCTACTGGCCTGCCAATAATTGATTCAACGTTCAATAACGAGCTTCCTCCTTAGGTACCATTAAGATTCTTGGAAAGAAGATTGTGCTAATATTATATCGATTCGAATTGGTATTGCAATCTTAGTGTCAATTGTCATGCTTAAAATGATATCTTAAACATGTTGTCAGCAAAGTCAACTCGATCTCTTTAATTAGAATGAATGGACTAGCTCAGGGACTAGCCAGTCAAAATTCCTTAATGCAAGAATAATTACTACCAATGCTGTGAAGAAATAAGATATTTCAGTGGATTTCAATACTACAGAATGGAAACGGATAGACGTTGCGTGATTTAGAACAGCTGATAACACAACTAAGAAATACTGTGTTACATGAATAGGAGTTGAAACTTGGCGATATTTTGGTGCAACAGTAGAAAGTAGATAAAACGATCGTGCAACTGGTCATCGCTCGATAAGATTAAATTCAGTTCAATAGCCTATTCTACAGTACTTCTGAAAACGAGTAGTTAGGATGATTTAGAATCTAGATCCGCTAGTTCATCAATTACGTTATGCGGTTGCGGTAGAAATCGTATGTAACGGAATTGTCAAGGGATAGTAGTCTGCAGCAACAAAATGAACTCTTGTATGTATTTTTACTCCTCTACTATGGATGACATCCGAGAATCAGTTCAATTTAACAGTACTGTAGATAGTTGTCGACAAGAGCACTAAATTATCAATATTCGATTAATCATTGATGCCGTTGCTCTTAGTAGCATTGTCGTTATGTTCACGCTGCAATATTTACTGATGCAATCCTACGATAGAATGAAGTAGGTTTACTGTAGACTACTCATCAATATTTAGATAAGGTTCCTTATCTTGACATATTAAGATGTTAGTAATGTCTTATTTCACTTCACTTCCTTCATTTTCCTACACCAACATAGTATGATTGACTTAAACAGGTTATTGATGCTTAAGCGATACTTTTAAATCGATAAATTACTACAATGAAGGGCTCTGGAGTTAACGATAAGGCTGTGAGGAGGTTTACGATTTGGATTAGTTTGATCTTGTTACTCGTTGATAACATGTCCGTTTGCTAATAGTTTTGCGTTTATATCATTCGTCGATAGCTTTATGTTTTTCTGATTTAGTAAAATAGATTCAATCGCTGGATTTACATGTTTATCGTTATACTCTAATAACACAGTAGCAGTTATCATTTAAGTTAATTGAGTATAATAATTTTTAATATCCTTATCACTAATAATTGACTTGTGAATTGATTGTAGTAAAGGACCGCGAAACAGAAATGTTACCTAAAATTACACACGTCATCTTTGACATGGATGGATTGCTATTAGGTAACATAATTTTCATATGTGCTAATATTGCACATAAAATGCAGTAATTGCTAATATTAACTAGATATGAAAGAATCCGAATAGAACTTGTATTCCTTGCTGAACTCCAATTATGACATGATGGTGTTCTCCTATGCACCATCACACCTACGACTATAGTTTATTCTGATGATGTACTACATTACGTTCAATGATAACAGCTCTCTTATTCTTAATTTTTACGCTAATATTTGTTATACAGAAGAGAGTTGCAGGCTATGATAGGATACCGTAAGGGATTCGTGTATAAAAGAATGAGGCAATATTCAGCCTGATCGCAAAATATTTGTTAAATATTGAATAAACTTGAGTATTTTAGCATAATTTATAAATATTTGATAAACTGGTGTATCCAGGTGAATTAGATGACCGGCCATAGTACTGCTTATTTAATTGCAAACTTGATAGGAAAACTAATCGTAGAATATTGACAATAGCAATGATTACTTGTTTTGTACGTTATGATATAGTTTCTCAATAATACAGCAAGACTTCTGTTTCTTGTTGAACTTTATTTCATTAAAGCAGTTCTTTTACCCTATCTCTATAAATAGATGTTTATATTGTTTTTCAATTTAGCTTACATCATGATCTGTTTAGACGCATGCATTTGACTTGTTACAATCACAAGAAAAAAACTTCTATTCAACCTGCATTGGGCATGTAATGGTAATAGCAAAAGTATTATTTTTAGAGATAAGTTGGCACTTTTACGTTATAACGCTAAGGCTTCAGTGTTTTGCATATTATTATACTTACTGTCATTGTTTTAGCTCTTGGGTTAATAAGTATTCAGTAAGCCAGCTCCAACATCACTAGATCAGTACGTTGGCTGGCTTAACCTTTTTGTAGCAACTACTTCAAGTTTCATCATTTGCCCAAAAATAAGTTACTAACATATCTAGTATGATCAAGGAAATTATTGAACTTACAATTAGATTGCCCCAGTCGATCTAGCATGCTACGAAAAATTCAAATTTTAATCATTTTTGTGACAAACGTTATAAAATAAGAATTTGAGCTTATTGCTAGTGAGGTACATATATTAAATTTATTTTCCTGCCAATATATTGTAAATGCTTCGTTGGGTTTCGTTTCCACTATTTATTGGAAACTGTGCCGCGTCGTGTAGAATATGCTTGTTATGAAATAAATAATTCAGGAAAAATTTTTCCGTGACTCATAATTATGATAGATTCAGAGAGAATTTATACTGAAGTTACGCAAGAAATTGCTCAGAGATACGGTAAAAATTTTACTTGGGATATTAAAGTGCAATTAATGGGTAGAACTCAAGCAAAATCCAATGAGATAGCTTTGAAATTAATGGATCTGCCAATGACACCAGAAGAATATGCAACAGAAACTAGAAGACTTCAGCAAGAAAAGTTTAAACATGTCGCTTTAATGCCTGGAGCGGAGCGCCTTGTTCGTCATTTACATCGTCATGGAATACCTATATGCGTTGCCTCTGGTTCGGCCAAATATAATTATGATATTAAAGTTACTAATTATCAAGACCTATTTGGGTTATTTCATCACGTAGTTCTGGGTTCTGATCCTGAAGTAAAGCGTTGCAAACCAGACCCTGATGCATTTCTTGTGGCAGCTTCTCGATTTGATAATCCTCCGGCTGATCCAGGTAACTTCTTATGATCAGTTGCATTTATCCCTAGCTTTAAATTTGCAGGATGATTTATAATGAATGTATTGTTATACTTACGTGGATTGGCAGAGAATTATACACGTTTTCGAATCCTAGTCTTTATCTTTTAAACTTGTTAACTTTGTATTTTATTGTTGTTTTCGACAATTTGTAAAGAAAATGTACTAGTATTTGAAGATGCCGTACATGGGGTTGCTGCTAGTTGTGCTGCCAAAATGCCCGTAGTGATGGTACCTGATCCGAGAATGGACCCCGAACATTTCAAGAAAGCAACCCTCGTTCTGAAATCACTAGAAGAATTTAAACCAGAAGAATTTGGATTACCTCCGTTTGATGAATAGCATAAGGCATTAACATTGGACTGATGCTTGTTTCATCTTTGTTGTATGATATATACAATTACCATCGAAGCAATGATTATAGAAACTAGATTGAAAGCAGTTTATGATAGACTTTTTGTTTATAATCAAATTAGATTCAAAAGTTTGTGTTTCTAGACGGTTACCGTACTATTTTGTCACACGCATGCCAATAGCACTAAATGAAAATGACTGTTTGTAGTATAAAGTGATTGTCGAGGGCGTAGTAACTTATTTTACCTGTTAAACTGATTAAAATATCACCTTGCTTATGGAATGACTCATTAACGTCAGTAGTTTAATACAGTATATGAACTCTTTGCAGTTTAAGGCAAATAAATGATATATTTTTTAGAAAGTCAAAATTGAAAATTATTCAGGAAATTCAGCACAGATTAACTAGGACTATTCAACAAACGTGATCATATTATTTTCCGTGAAAGCTTTTTTCTAACTAACTTTTGGATAATATACATTGAGAAGGATTGTGTTATTGAAATGATGAGCAAAACTGCATTAGCCAATTTCACTGGATTTAACCAATATGTCATTTTTATTGTAGACTTCCTGTTTTTTACGCTGTGATGATCACAAGCGAATTTTTAATTTGTATTAAAAGCCTTTGATTAATAAGTATAGAGGCAATTTATTGACAGATACAACTGCATAGAATATTCAAATCACCGCGTAACAATCGAAGGTCTGCATATAAAGATGCGCTACTCATCAAGAAATTATGGATCTTCTTTCTGTTGATGATAGACACTGCTTAACTTTTAGTAGTTCCTTATGCTAATATGCTATTCTAAGGCTAAAAGGTGATCAACCGCAATCCTCCTGGGATTGATTTAGTTATTTCTTTTGAGTCGCTTAACTTGTTCATTCCGACCATCAAGGCGATAATCATATAGTTAACTAATCAAGTTGGTCACAATCATATTGAATGTTCATGTTTGTTACTATTAAATCAGACCGAACTAAATCCATAGATTAGGCCTTTCTGGCAGTAGCATAAAAGTTCATCAGTTCAACGACTTTGGATAAAAAATCAATGTAGAATTTTAATGTTTATGGTGAATAATTAATTTATGCGTACCATTGCACGTTTCATAATTTTCATCGTCAATATGGCAGTTCATGATTATTTTATAATAAGCAGTGTTTAGCAAGACAATATTACAGTAACTTAAGTAAATCTAGTGCAAGCCTAAATAATATTGGAATGAGCTGAGTTATGCTAAGTCAAATAGAATTAAGACTAAAAAAAATCAAATAGAGTCATTGTATTATTGCGCGAAAAATATGATATATCAGGGTACTTACAGCTCGGCACTGACAAATATTTAAACCTACCAATGAATTTTCTACTTAACGAAACAATCTAAAGAATTGTATCTCTTCTGCTTGCTTAAATAACAAATTTATAATATAGTGTCACGGTACGAACTACCGTGAAGAAATAGCCATCTAAATTTGGTTAATATAATATAGTGATAATATATTACAACTAGTTACTTACAGTAGGAATTATTCTAATTATAAATGTGTTACAGTAAATTTAGTGCTGTGCTGTAATGTGCACTGAAATGATTCTGTGAATGGACGTATTGTAGTCAGACTGTGAAAAACTAGTTAGTAGATGTTCTCACCTAAGTATTTTTATAAGATGACTTGTGAATGTTAGCTGCTGTAGAAGGGTATATAAGCCCGTCAGATAGTTGAATAAAGCAGTTCTCAATTGTCTAGTTGAGTTTAACGCAGTATCAAAGGCGTCTAAATTCTTGTGAGGTAGTTAAGGGATACTGAATCCCGTAGACTATAGTAATTTAGAGATTTATTTTACGTTATCCTTTTCACGAAGCTGGTTTTGTGACATATACTACCATAATAAAATACTTCCATATGTACGTTGCATTTTTATACATCATCCATAGTGGCTATATATTTATTTAAGGAGACCATACTAAGCTATAATCTCATACTAGTATAATCTCGTACTATCCTAACTCCCTACTCATTTTTCTTCTCATACCTTTTACTGAATACGGTATAGAGGCATATGGCTTTTAAATTGCGAAGCTTAGCTCGCAGATAGGGTTCAGTTTTTGAAATCGCATTAATGCAGATTTTCCTACAATAAAAGATAATGCTTTGCCTATAAAGCACCTTCCTCTGTTTCAAATCATTACAAACCTCCAGACAAGGAACTATGTCATATTTTGTAAATATAACGTTAACTATTCTTATTTTATCCATTGTAAAACTAAAAGGAGTGTCAAAGAACGGTAATAATTATTATACTATAATTAATTTACTCAACACAATGCTGTTTATTCAGTATGTTATGAACTATATTCTAGGGTTTACGTTCATACTTCAAGCACTAAATACAGTATGATCCTGTTATATTCATTATTCACCCATTATACTACAGTACAAATGCAGTATGCTTACCTGGAGTATCACTAGTAAAACATATTTCTGGTCTAAGAGAAAGCCTTATAGTGAAATGGTACAAGGTTATCTTTTCATCAAACCATCCATAATCAGCAGATACATTATTTCGTAAATCTAAAGTATGTACCATAAAGTCGTGCTCTATTACATAATCATAATTATTCATTATATTTGATATAAAGATGGACTTCAACATAGCGAATTTATCTGAAACTGAATCCAATTGTCCCTTTGGATCATGAAGAGTATAGTAAATCATTGCTTATAAATATTATCGCCGATAAACTAAGATAATGCAAATACCCTATACGGAAAGCGAATTCTGTACAACGTTCGTATAAATTCAACCATTATATAGTAACTACCAGTAATTATCAGAGGATAGAGCTTCAGCGTAATTGGAAAAAGGAATATAGTAATCTTAGAAACTTACTCTTGGGAACAGATCCAACAGTTAAGATCGATATCGCTGTATCGAGTTAGGACTACCTTTACTAATTCTACTCTATGGAAACGCAAATTACCATTAGTATATGGTAAAATAAAGAACTAAGCAAGTATTTGATTGCTATTTCTTATACATCTATACCCTGACTGTAGTCTTGCAATATGAATCTGCCTCTGATCTCGAAGTTACGAGCTTTAGAATAGTAGTGGATTCACAATTAATAGTTGCAGTCTTTAGTAAAATGAGTAATGTAATCTAAATGAACTAATTCAAAGATGCCTATATCGCAGAGTTAACTTGGTAACAAGTGATATTGCTAGATTAATTATTAATATTTCTACTTACTTTCATTTTCTTTAATTTTATTAAATAATTAATTAGATGGATCGAATAGTGAGTTGTTGCATAATATCATCTTAAACTGTGCTACATTGCATGGACTTTTCAATTAAAATGTTTCTTTTATATAAAAGATTGCGGTGCTTGCACAAGGCAAGTATTTCGAGTACTTGGAATATATGAGTATCTATAAGGCCAATTCTATTATTTTATTACCGGATTCAATGACATTGGAATAAATTATCGTTACTATAGACTTGCTGGAATAGTGCATTTGATTTCTCATGGACGATGCTTACGATTGTACTAATTCGTATACAGTACATGATTCAATATCGACATCTCGATCAGTATCATCCCGACCTTTCATTAATCAGAAAAGTAGCAACGTGCTGGTAATGAATGTAACTGATATTATCTTCATCTAGATGACATATAATCTTTTTCTTAATACTCCTCTATATGCTTTAATTTCCTTTGTTATTGAACCACATTTATTTTCACAATCTATCGTACCTATCGATTCGAAAATTACTGATCATAGATGAAATTATGCTATCGAAAAATGAAGTCAGATTTATTTTACTTTGCCGTATCACTAAGTGAAAGAATTCCATTCTGGAGTACTAAACGATTTTATAGCAAATTAAACTTGAACTTGCGAGCTTAATAAATTTTTGATGATACAATCGCATTCTACAAAGAATATTAGAAATCGTACATGTATCATATGTGGAATATGGGGTGGTTTTCTAAGACAGAACTCATCCATTTTAAAAAATTAATGCTATAATAACTTGAGTTATCTTCAATAGTCTTACAGCATTCAATTTTATAGTGACCCTAAAATTACGTACAATAGTCATATATACAGTAAAATGAATTCGTTATAGGATCTACATTGTTCGTGACCGATACAATTTGATAGCTAGACCAACAGACTTCTAGTTAACTGCGTTCTTCATTATTCAAAAATGAAGAAGAGATTTATGTTTCTTTAAATTAGTAAAGCAATTATCATATTTTATAGCTCTTCGTTCATAAACTCACTTTATTATGAGGTAGCTACTATCTGAATACGCTTAACTATAAGGCGCATCGACTATTAAAACACATGAAACGGCAAAGTATCAGTGTGATACAGGGTAAAGGTGATCGTATGTAAACAGAAATTAAATCTAGTACAGACATACTGAGATATTTTACGTATGATTTATGACAGACAACGTACGTATGCTTATGAACTCGCAATAGAAAGCATCCGGTGATCAAAGCGGATAAACTACGCATATTTTGTTCCGATAGTGATAGAATATCCTATCCTCGAGACATAATATTTTAAAAATGAGAAATCGATTTGCAATTTTTCTTCACTAAATGGAGAAAAATTAGCAATCTTCGATAGAGTTCGATGCTATATTGCCAATCAAAGAGATAAATTTGCCGACTATAATTTAGTTAAGGCAAGTAAATAAATTTTAGTTATTACTAATTAATACCGAAATATAAGGTCATCAGAATACTAGAATGACAATCAGCTGAATATAATTACCAATTTCTGGTTGAAATTATATTTTTAAAGAAATAAAATACAAGGCTTAAGAAATACTAAAGCGATAATGACAATGCAATTAATTTTTCAACTACATAAATGGACTATCATAGATTCCAGGAAGCAGCGCTATTAATTTTTAAATTCATTCTTACTATTGCTGTACTTTTTACAATGCATAGGTACGAGTATTTTATTGCATTGGATGGTATTTCTTTTTGAATTGGAAAGTAATCATAAAAATTATTATTCCCATTTCTAAACATTTATAGGATTTATAAAAAATCTTTGCTGATTGTGGCCATGGAGATAGCCGAAATCGCGTGAATGCTGTAGGAAAAGTTAGTTATGGTATTACTCCTTAAGTAATGGCATAATCCGTACAGTATACATATCATTGATAATTTAAAAATAGAATCAGGTAAATTTATTGCCGGTACTGGTCAATTTGATCTATTTTTATCGTTTCAACTATTATTGCAATGACAAATTAATTTCATTACATGCGTAGAAATCTCCTCTGTCTAACATTAACAATAAAACTACTATCCAATAACGTAGCCAAGATTAATATGCTGAATATCATAAGAATTTTTGTACGATATAAACAATAGAATAGAAGGTTGATAACTTAACAAGACAGATGCCAAACTTTGTTCAATCGAATAAATTGATGGAAACTTTTTCTTTACCATGACAATTGAAACATAGCAAAGAAGATATTAAATTATTATGATATTAAATCTACCAGATCTAATTGTAGATTTGCATGAGTAGATCACTTCATATCTAAGTATGTTTGTTATATTTCCTATATAAATAGAACAGCACGCAGTAAGTCTTAAGTTCGTTTAAGACTCAACCATTACAGTATTGCATGTCTACATCATTAGATATTTGCCCTCAGTTAATAAAGGCGATGTGGACTATATTAATATTGTGATTATATTTTAAGATTGCGATATATATGTGTCATAACTACTACATAGAAAAATTGATTTAATCCCATATTACTATGGAAATGCAGTTTGGGGTTGAAATAGATAATCAAATCAATAATCAGTGACTATTAAACTGGTACTATCAATTGTAGATGTTATAAAATGCTAGAATATAGCCCCATAAAAATTGATAAGGGTGATTTTTAGCTTTACTTTGCCTTCGGAATAAATTAAACAATTGAAGACCGACAGAAATATTAATGGAAAGTATCATCATTATTTCATGATCGCTAAGGTATAAGTAAATGCCTGAAAACAGAAGCAAGATGATGGAGCTTAGGATAAGGAATATTTCTATTCTTTACTTAACTATGACTATAATAAAGGTTCAATAAAAATCAGGGGCGTTAAAATTAAATGACTAATATATTTATATTGGTAATATCATTCCAATTCAGTAGAATATAAACTACGAACGAGTTGCATATAATTATACTTAATGCTACTGGCTTTTCATTCCCTTCATGTATAATCATAAAATGGAACGAGGTATTGAAGTAGATAGCTTCCATGTAAACAGACATTATCTTTATGTTTAATAATAACTACCATTGGATAAAGATAAGAAATATGTATATTTAGATAAGAGCAGAAAAGTAAATCTTAACTTGATTAACAAAATGTATTAGACAATAATATTAATAAAACTAATTTCACTGATTTCTCTATTGAAAAACGGGAAGCGTATGTTGCAGTCATTGTAGTTACAACTTCAATATAATGAAGATGCATTAGTTATGTTTTTTGACTAAATTAGTGGATGGATTATGAATCATGTTGAACATGACATATTACTAACATTAGTATAAACTAAATATTACTTTTGAAACGATTCCATCCTTAAAAAAATAACCATTGTGCCGTAATTATAATGCAAATTGGAGGAAGAAAGAAAATGAAGAACAAGTAAAGTAATACAGACCATGAGTCAAAAACTAAAAATAGAATATACATGTATATTTATATACAGGCAAGAGGGATACTTAGATCTTTGAATAATTTCTAGTTAATACGTGCTTTTCATCGATGACACACATCAAATACATTCGATACAAGACCATTTTACTAATGTTACGTTGATCACGTTGTTCACTTGCACATTATTCTTAAATACGGAACGTGATTAATCACAATCACATAGTAAAAAACTACTATAAGTTTAAGTTAGCTATGATATATGATGGTTGGTGATGCATGATTTTTTTAAACATACGCTGCTGTGGGCGATAAAGCCAACCCGCGAAGGTCTATTTCACTAGGCGATAAATACACAGCTTCAGTAGACGGTGTAAGGAATGATGATAGACGAGGATGATGATGATAACCGTTATGAATTGTTGATGGTTTATGGCGGTTGAGAGATTTTTTGCTTGAAAAGCGCGAGAAAGATTTACTCTTACTGCTGGATCGAAAAGCTATGATAGAATGATTTGTTGATTTCTGCATAATTGATGAATTAGCTTTTTCAGAGGGTAATAAAGGCCAATGTAAGATCTTATATAACCTTGCTTTAAATTGCTTATTCAACATAGCATAAATGATTGGATTAATTGCAGCGTTGGCGTAAGCTATATAACGAACAACGATAGCCATAATTTTAATATCAGCTATGGGTAAAGTGACTAACTGGCATGCAAATAATACCCGTGTCACTTCTTTGGGCGTCAAACATAGGATATAAATGATGACAATTGTAATAACCATAACCAGAACATGATGTTTAGTTTTATCTAAACGTTGATTATGAGTTGCTCCTCCAACGATGGAACCTGATCGCCGGACTATCATGGTTATCTGGACATTAGTGAAAATCATCACTATTAACGGTATGATAAAACCAATGAAGGTAATGCAAATCATATAGATCATATAATTACGACTACTTCCAAATCGATCAAGATCAGGCCATCGACGTGTGCAAAGAGTCATGGTGCTAGAGAAACTTTTAACTTCCAAAAAAATAAATTCAGGTATAACTAGAATGAAAGCACATAACCATAAGATAATTATAATAAAGGCCGTCCAAAAATCATTTAAGCGCCGTTTTAATGGGTGTTTGACGGCCATATAGCGATCCAAACTAATGGCCACTAATATAAAACTCATAATGTAGACACTAGCTGCTGCAACACTTTGCGATAACTTACACATGGTCTGGCCCATAGTGTAATGTAAATTATCTTGCATAATCTCTGTAATTATAACGATTGGTATATTGAAGCATAGTATAATTAGATCGACTAACATTAAATTCATTAAGTAATAATTGGTTGGATTTTTTAAAGATGGCGTTGCCAGATAGATTATTAAAACCAAACTATTAGCAATTAATCCAACAACAAATAAAATACAACATAGCACCAACTGGATGATATGAGCTATAGATAAATTATAGTAGAATGGATGTAAGGATGGGATTATGGTCGTTGGTAAGTTAGTTGAGTTATAACCACTGGTGTGATTAATGGCTACTTCGGTTGTAATATTTAGTATGATTGAATCGCTGCTTGTCATTAGATCCATCTCTAGAGGAAATAGAATGACTTGATTGCAATAAATATCACAATAAAAAAAAATTAATCGATTATAGTACTGCTTTTAAGTAGTTATTTCTTGGCTGTCAATGTAATTAGTCAGATCAATGTTAGTGCCGGGTAAATATGTGTATAAAAATGCTGAAATACAGTAGATTAGGTGATATAATATTTTAATAATAGTACTGTAGAAAATGATCTATTTTTAACGCTAATTCGATTTAGTTTTGTACTTTTAATTTTAATTAACGCTAAATAATATTAATAGCCAAAGATTATTGAAGGGAATGAATTGGTAAGGTAGAATAAATGACGCTGGACGTAAATTTTCAACGCAGAACTTAATTAGTTAAAGAAAATAGATATGATGGCAATGAGATCTTTGTGCCTCCTGTTGATGTCTTGGATAAGATTTATCTGGCTTGTGTGTGTTATTAAATTTCTAGACCAAAACCTTGAAATATGTGACTTGGTTAGTTACCATAAAAATTTCCAAGTTTTAATATTATTATTTTGTTGTTGTTGTTGTTCTTCTCGCCTTCGATGTTATTCTCGATTCACGAGATCAATGAAACTGGAAAGATAAATTTTATGACAGGCTTAGTTTTACCTGTAAAGAAGAAATTATCATGCTGTCCATTAGTACAATTTAACAATAATATATGAATAATGTCCCTGTGTAACACTTATCATCAACCATTTTTAAGTTACCTCTTACTAATTGGATCGAACTTTCAGACTTGGTCGATATGATTAACAAGCAGATACTGACTTCATAGAATATTTTTCTTCTCTTTTCAATCTTAACTTAACCTCTCTTATAGAGTATACCTTTCCTAAAATGATAATTAATTGATAAGATGACAGTTACGATATCAACCTGAGTGAGTGAGAAGAAAACCAGCATACGTTCAATTTACAAGAGACAAATAATAGTGATTGAGAGTAAAAAATGACTTGATAGATGGATGAATGAGTAATTTGTAACCTGGATCAATACTAAAAAATAGAATGAATTCAACTGAGTATTAGATTGAGAGAATTGAATAGTAGTTAGAATTAAAATCAGACGTCAATTTGACGTGGGCTGATCCACGTTAGTTTTACTCCTTTGGTCTATTTTTCAGACTCTTTTGCACTCGCTACCTTCATGATAATGAAGAATAAAGTGAACATAGAAGAAAAAAACCAATTTATTCATAGACAATAACCTTTACTATTCTTTAAATCATGACTGGTAAACAGAATTATCTTTCAATCGCATATGAATAGAACAATGCTAGTTAGGGTTATACTATTGATGTGCTCTAACAATGTGTTGGTCTAGCATTGTGTCGAGGATAAGATAAACTAGAATGATGATGAGGTTATATATTAATGCTCAAATGCGAGGTAATCTTAATTTAACCATCTTTTGAATATTGAAGCTTCGATGATGATTAGCTAAGGGTGATGAAGGATGATATGATAGCTAATATATTAATCGAGGACAATAGTATTCCAATGATATGAAAATAGAAACTTATTTCGCTCTGAGTTATCGATTTAATAAAGTCATGATTACCTAAGTCAATAAGACGCAAGGAATTGAATAGATTATGAATAGGTTATAAGATGATCAGACATCTGCATAGATATTAATTTGCTCCTATTGTATTAACTGTTCATAGTTTTAGATAAAGTGATGATTAAATCAAATATTAAAATGATAGGATATATAAATTTAGACTTTCAAACTTGTTTATCCATAGCAACCTGATTAAAGCTAACCACAGCAGGTGTTGTTCAATATTAATGGTATAGATCTTATTAGTAGTAAATTGATTCAATATTGTTATCAAATCAAATCCATGTTAATATTAACTCACTTTCTTAACAGAAAATCAAAGCAGTGATCTTATGTTTGGAAAAGAATAGGTGGTAATTAAGAAAGAAAAAATTATTGGTTCTGTTTTGATTATTACTCACGTTGAAACGATTACTCTATCATTATGTCAATAATGAATACTTAACTTTATGCTTCACTATGGTAACTACTGGTGTAGGATATATCGCAAAATTAATTATTAAAATCTTTAAATTCTATTCTATTTGGTCGACTATTTAGCCATAATTAAAACTAGAGAGTAGAATAAATTATTGAGTACTGTCACAAACCAATTTCGTGACAAGGATAACGTAAAATAAATCTCTAAATTACTATAGTCTCCGGGATTCAGTATCCCTTGACTACCTCACAAGAATTTAGACGCCTTTGATTCTATGTTAAACTCAACTAGACAATTGAGAACTGCTTTATTCAACTATCTGACGGGCTTATATACCCTTCTACAGCAGCTAACATTCACAAGTCATCTTATAAAAATACTTAGGTGAGAACATCTACTAACTAATTTTTCACAGTCGGACTACAATACGTCCATTCACAGAATCATTTCAGTGCACATTACAGCACAGCATTAAATTTACTATAACACATTTATAATTAGAGTAATTCCTACTGTAAGTAACTAGTTGTAATATATTATCACTATATTATATTAACCAAATTTAGATGGCTATTTCTTCACGTTAGTTCGTACCGTGACAAGTAGAAACTACTATGACTTAAAAAATATCAAATTTGCACATATAACTTTAAAGAATATCTCTATATCATATTTTAAGCGTAGATAAAAAAGAGGTAATAATAACCTATAGGAAGCTTTGGTATTTGCAAAATATGTGAGATATTTTAATGCAATTGCATAACTAAGCATTACTTCTATAATGCAGAAATTTAAAATTAAATCAATATTTAATATAGGTAGAATCATTTTCAAAAGCTTGTATGCAACGCAGATGTATATATATATATATATATATATATTATACACTCTTATCTAACATCGGAGCTTAGAAGCAAACCATGTCCTGTATTGTAATGTGGAAGACTAGTGATGTTGAGATACGATATGAAACATTACCGTAGAATTTTATTGTGATACAATATAATAGCCTAATTAGGGATAAATCATAAATTGTATAACATTTTAAATCAAGTCAATACGCTCACAATGTAATAGTGATCGATCTAATGAGTACGAAATAAGAATTATAAGCTGCTAATATATATATTATCAGTCACGAAAGGGAATAAGGGTTTATCAATATCTTATAACCAGATAGTATAGAGGCCATTCAGATTAACCGGTAACGGAATAGATATGGGAACGTTAGCTTGTGGCTTATTTATGAAATGTTTAAAATATAATTTCATTGCATACAATCGAAAATAGTAGAATTAAAGCTACTTTAAAATCAATTAAATTAAATTTCGATCATTAAATTGCCTTACTTTAAATAGACTATATTGCATAATAATAAATTTATATTTTGTAATAATACTTTAAGTTAGATCTTTGATATGGCAGATTACTAATATTAATTTTAATAAATGCAGAGAAATAGAAAAAAACCGTAATGTAACTGATTAAATTCCAGAAATAGAAATTATAGCCTTGCTTCCATCATTCTGATGATGCGCATGATCTTATGCAATAAAAAGCTTGCTTGAGCAAATTAAGTCATTTCACGAATGGCGCCCTTCGCCTAAAATGGCAGTTTATGGCAATTACTACATATTCAACTAGATTTGCTCTTAATTCTAAGCAATGGTCATGCCATTTCTCTGATACTAAAATTACCGATCTTATTATATATCCAAGAAATCTCATTTTGCTAAATTTATCTAAGACGGTCTAATTGAATGATTTTATCGTTGTCATTAATTGTAACTATTTTGGCCTTAGTCTTAGCACCAGTGGCAATGCTACTAGTATAACTCATACTACTAATTTAACACGATGACTATTGTTGGGATATACCATACTGTTAAATATGCGTAAATGATCATACTACATTCAGTATAGCCTAACTATTTTTACGTCTTGTTGTTTTTAAAAATACAATCATTTGTTATTCTTGACTATGATTCAACTGCTCTTAATTGTTACTCGGGTCAATAAGCTTTCTCTTCGTAAAACAATAATTTTATTGTAAAATATCTTAATTGTAATCATCTTTATCAATAACAAATACTGTAGCTATTGAACAGCCTATACGGATCGTAGTAAATGTTGTTGCCTCTGTTAATAGCAATGGAAGTGCCTTAAGCTAAAGTAAATCTCCTACTTCTTTCCCTAATTTTGATTGCTATAGAAATTGTTAATAGGAAAATCAAGAATGAAATTATTAAGATAGTTAATTATTTATAAAAGACAACCGCCAAGCAATATTTGCTCATATTACATCCTAAGATACAACGAAGACAATGAAAGGATGGATGCCTTATTTTTATACTAATGGTTAGTAATTTCACATTTTGAAGTACTTTCTAAATTTATTTTTGATGCATCATTGCTCTAATTATTCGTAAAGAAGTTGATATAAAGTGTGTCGATTTAATCTGACTATTTATTATTAATGCAAATCTTATGATCTAGTTATAGTTAATGCTGACTTAAATGTATTGATATTACCATGAGGCAATAAATGGCAAATAAACGCCAAACTTTTCATTTTCTTCTTACCAGGCAGAATTATATTATAAATAATCACTAATGTAACTAGATAAAAATATGATGTATAATTTAAGTTGCGCATAGTTTCAATTTCTGAAGAAAACTGCTATCCATCCATCACTTAATTTTTTTTATCCTATTTAAGCTGGATACGTAGTAAATTATATCATATGTTTTTTTAAATGTC